AGTTATTAATGAGGGCCGATGTTTTTATGGCATGTGGTATTAATGATGGCGCTTGTTCTGTACTTCTTTCTGTACTGCCAGGACAGAATGCGCATATACCCCTTCGTCCGGTGGCGGAGATACGCAGTTCACATTACTTGCAGAAGGGCATATTTCATCTATGCTGTTCACATTTACAGAGGGTTAGATTCACAACACGCCTAAAATGGCACCTATGCAGTTCACATGAATTCGCAAGGATCATGTTCCTGTAACAACAACACAACTGGTGTCTGTGATGATTCTAAGTGGCTGGAAATGTTAGTACACGTGTCCCTCTACTATATCAGATAGGTTCCAAGTAAGTTCACTAAGTACAAGCTTAAATACGGCTGCAAAAGCCCCATAGCCCTTTCTGAACTTGCTAGCACCACCAACTTCTTAGGACACTACCTTGGTATCGAATACCGACGATTTCCAATCGGTTTTCGCCCAATTTCAGGGGATTCTAGGAAAATGTTCATTTTGTGTGCATTTCGTTCATTCCATGAACCAGGGGAGTATTTTGCACTTCTAAGTGGCTGGAATGTTAGTACAGGTTGTCCCTCTAACCATACCAGATAGATTCCAAGTCAGTACATGATAAAATTACGGGCTGAAAGCATGTTTCAAATTTGTCTCAAAATGTTCCCCTTCTCAAACTACTCTGAACCAAATGGATACATAGCCCCACGAGCCCGTTCTGAACATGCTAGGCTCACACAAACTTCTCAGGGACATCCTGGTATCAATACCGATCGATTCCAATCGGTTTTGCCAATTCAGGGGATTCTAGGAAAATGTTCATTTTGTGTTCATTTCGTTTCAGTCCATGATCCAGGGGAGTATTTTGGACTTCTTAAGTGGCTGGGAAAATGTTTAGTACATGTTTTGGTCCCTCTACAATACCTGATAGATTCAGTTCAGTACAAAGCATAATTACGGCTGCAAAAGCATGTTTCCAATTTGTCTCAATTGTTTCACCTTTATCAATACTCTGAAACCAAAATGGAAACATTGCCCCAGAGCCTTTCTGAACATGTAGGCTCATCCAAACTTTTCTGGGACACTCCTGGTATCAATACACGATCGATTACATCTGGTTGTAGCCCAATTCTGGGGATTATAGGATAATGTTCATTTAGTTGTGCATTTCGTTCATTCCTTGTAACCAGGGGAGTATTTTGCACACTTTCTAAAGCGGCTGTGGGAAATGTTAGGACATGTGTCCCTCTTTCATACCAGATAGATTCCAAGTCAGTAAAAGCATTAATACGGCTGTAAAAGCTTGTCAACACTTTTGTCTCAATTGTTTCCACCATCTCAATTACTCTGTATCCAAAATGGTAACATAGCCCCAGAGACTTTCTGAACATGCTAGGCACACCAAACTTCTCAGGGGACATCCTGGTTATCAATACGATTCGTTCCAAATCGGTTTTAGCCAATTCAGGGGATCTAGAAAATGTTCAATTTTTGTGTTCATTTTCGTTCATGCACATGAACCAGGGGAGTATTTTGCATTTCTAAGTGGCTGGAAATGTTTGTACATGTGTCCCTCTTTCTTACCAGATAGATTCAAGTCAGTACAAGCATTAAGTACGCGGACTGTTTAAAAAGCAGTGTCTCACTTTTGTCTAAAATGTTTCACCATCTCAACTACTCTGATGAAACCAAAAATGGAAACATTGCCCCAGAGCCCTTTCTGAACATGCTAGGCACACCAAAACTTATCAGGGACACCCTGGTATCAAATACCGACTCGATTCCAATCGGTTTTAGCCACAATTCAGGGGATTTAGGGAAAATGTTCATTTTGTGTTCATTTCGTTATTCCATGAACCAGGGGAGTATTTTGCACTTTCTAAGCGGCTGGAAAATGTTAGGAATGTGTCCCTCTATCATACCAGATAGATTCCTATAGTCAGTACAAGCATTATTACGGCAGTAAAGCCTGTGTCCACACTTTTGTCTCATCATGTTATCCACCATTCAACTACTTCTGAAATCCAAATTGGAAATTTGCCCCAGAGCCCTTTCTGAACATCGGGCACACAAACTTTCTCTGGACACCCTGGTATCAATACGATACGATTCCCCATTTCCGTTCGCTTAACTCAGACGAAGTTAACGAAGCTTGTGAGCTTGAGCTGAACTACTCGAGCGAGGGACCCCATAATTTGAAAATAAATTCCCCCTAAAATTAAATACATATCATAAATTAATCGTCACTGATTGGGCGACGTGGTCAAATCTTTAGCCTGATCAAAGAGATTCTTAATGGTCGGTCACTGATGTGGCCAGATACTGGAAAAAAAGCCCCAGAAACGCGATCCCCTGTCTTTCTGCAGAAAGAACCACAATCCAAATCCTCGGCTGAGTCAGCTTATCTACCCCCCCCCCCCCCCCTGTTAAGTGTTAAGAGTGAGCGAGCATCAGACAAACCTTGTCGGAGAGATAATAAGGACGTTCACATATTACGTAATCACTTTTTGGACAATTTTTAACCCCCTCCCCTCTCCGTAATCAACTTTAGACATAGCTGTGTCAAAATTACACTAGTGTAATCATTTGGAAACCTCCCTCCCCTCTCTGCTCTCGGCTGATTACGTAATATGTGAACGACTCCTAAGGAGAGGCTGCAGCTGAAGAAAGATAAATATTATTCTGAAATATAATGTTGCAGTCCCCAATGGCAATATATGATTTCCAAAGACCGTCGACAGTCGAAGAGTCCAACTCGGCGCGCGTCTTGGTAGGCTATAAACCTACAATAGGTATACAGATGATTACTTTGATGTTGAAAGCATTATGACTGAATTAATGAAGTCTGTTGAGCACTGATGAGTCGGATAAGGAGGATTTAGTGTCATTGAATTGGATAAGCATTTGGATGACGAGGATAATGTGTAGTGTAAAATGTGTTCATTGTTCCTTTATTATGAATAAACTCAAATCTTAACATTTAGTAATGAAGCCGACCAAATGTCGAATTGAATCAACTTCTCTCCGAGCATGTATCGTGATAACTGATAAGATTCAATAAGATCGGTTTCTGTTTCACACTCGATATCTATTTCTTGAGCTAATATTGATGCTATCACAGAAAATAAACTAATTGGTCCTTGATAAAAGAACGACTTCCAAGCATTGTGATAAATACTACTTCAGTAGCAGATGAGACAACTATAGAACTATGTTGCCTCAATAACAAAGGGATCAATGAGCATTGACGAGGAATGAAGATCGCTTTCACTTCGAAAAACTAGAAAGAAGTTAGAAATGAAGAACGCTTCCAGTTTCACTAAGACTCGAGCTAACAAGCTCATGTCATGTGGTGCATCATGGCACGATCACGAAAACTGTAAATCTATGGAATCCGTTTCTTAAGTACAGTGTCGAAAATACTCGACACAAACCGAATAGTTAAGGATTTTCTGAAATGGTGATTTGTATTTGTAAGATCGTGTGATTAGCATATATAAATATACTACTATAATTCAATAGTGACAAGGATCAACATTTTTCTTCACAACATATTGGCAAAGAGAAACTGAAAGGGAACTAATCTTTGTTGCATTGATTCCTGCTCTACCGGACCTCATTGTGGATCACCTGATATGCCACGTGACAAAAGCTTTTCAGCTCGGTTGTTAGAAAAACTGAAAGCATTCCTCTAATTAGCTTCTTGAAGTGAAAGTGATCCCCATTCCTTGTCGATGCAGCTCTAGACTGTGATCGACCCATTCTGGCTTGGTTGGTCAATAGTGGAAGCTGATTGGTTTATTGCTCTCACATGTGTTAAAACAATATGCCTCCCCACACTAGGATCCACATTTATTGATTCCTTTGTTACTGAGGCAGCATTCGTGTCTTGTCTGCTACTAAAGTTCAAACTGATCACAATAAACACTTGGAGCGTTGCCCTTTTGTCGAAGACCAATTAGTTTTAAATTGTTTAGTCAAAAAACTTCAACATCATATGGAAACTGAAAGTGTTTTGTGTCAAATATATTTTTTAGGGGACAGCAATCTTATAACAGTTACACTTACACAAATATGTATGTGCTCAAAACGTCAAACAATGGTCTGATCAATTCCTGAAATACCAACAGTTTCAAGGTTAAGAACAATAGACTTCCAAATGACGAATTGTTACATGTTCTGATGTAGCACGTTCTGACAGTGACACGTGTCGTGTCACGTGACACGCCTGTAGCTATCGATTTTCTAGAAGACGCGTGAGAACATAAATATCTGCTCCAGCGGTCAGGTAGCGGTGTGTGCGTTACTCAGTTGCCGGTTTACTGGCCCATTCTTCTTCAGGTCTTATAGTGTCATGCCATGAGATTTAATTCATTTCGAATCCTTTGATCACTGATCCATGGTTTGATAATCAGCCTTGACTTTCCTTGTGTTCATACAGTTTTTTTCTATCAAGCAGTCAGGTTTCGTTTTCTATAAATCACTGTTAATTTAACACTTACAATTATCAAGATAATCAAAATGAAATTCTTCCTCATCGCTATCCTTATGGGCCTGATGGTTGTTGGAATCCGTAAGTTAATTAAACTATAATTCAATATGTTGATAATAATTATATACTTTTACTGGTATTTTCTAATTAATATATTGATTGCGAATGTTTTTAAAAGAGGAGGTATTAGACACTTCTACTGAAGACCAGGATAAATCAATGTGGATAACTGCAATACAAATTATTACCATGAACCTTATTGATTTCAGGCTCAGAAGGTGAAGATGCTGGAGGTGAAGATGCTGGAGGTGAAGATGCTGGAGGTGAAGATGCTGGAGGTGAAGATGCTGGAGGTGAAGATGCTGGAGGTGAAGATGCTGGAGGTGAAGATGCTGGAGGTGAAGATGCTGGAGGTGAAGATGCTGGAGGTGAAGATGCTGGAGGTGAAGGTGAAGGTCATGACGATGACAGTCATGACGATGACAGTCATGACGATGACAGTCATGACGATGACAGTAGTGCACTCAGCATGTCCATCGCTGCAGTTCCTCTTCTCGTGGCTTTCCTTCGTTTATAAGGTATGTTATTGATCGATTCATGACCATTTTTCTTTTAGCCTTGAAAGTTAAAAACTATGTAATCAATATATTTAATTAATTAATATTGATAAAGTAGCCAATTCCTATGTTTTTCAGAATGTCAACTCGATCGAAATCACGAAAAACATGCCACTCTGACTTAGCAAAGAATCTTAGAAGCCTTGGAGATATTTTTTCAAGAAAGAACTCCTTTATATTTTAATGATGCTTATTGCAACATCATTTCGAATGCCGTGATTGAAATAAGAAACTGAATCAAACGATGCACGCCTTCTCTATAATTTTAGAATTTTGAATCATTGTCAGTTATGTAATAAACCGTTAGCATAGAATGTTTATCTTATATTTTGTTTTTAAAGTTACATTTTCTTGTAAAATGTCATACCTTAGCTCTTTTTGACTTAAAAATCATCTTCCGAGAAACAATAATTGCCCACAAATACAATAGTTTTAGTTGAAAAGAAAATTAAAATTACCCTTTAGCTTGATTCTTTATATATCGTATCATGTGGGGCTCTAAACCAGTATCTTCTTGAAGGACGTCCGGAAAGGTCTTGTGTGGTCGTCCTCGATACCTTTTGCCATAAGATGGTTGCCAGAAAAGGAGTTGCTGAGCAGGTTGGTCCTGTAGACGGTAGACATGCCCTGCAAAACGAAGTCTTCGTGTTTTGATGGTATCAGTCACCGATGGGATATTTCCGTAGAGGACGGAGTTAGGTGTGTGGGATTTCCATGAGATACCAAAGACCCTTCGTAGTATTCGTGTGTAAACACCGTCTAGTGCTTTAGTGTCAGCTTTCTTCCATGTTTCTGCGCCATATAAAAGAACAGGCTCGACTGCAGTTCTGAAAATTTTAGTCTTGATCTTTCTAGACATGTCAGATTTCCAGAAAACATCTAGACTTTCAAGTGCTTTCCATGCAAGGCCTTTCCTGACATTGATGTCTTTGCTGGTTGACGCGATGTAGGATCCTAGATATTTAAAGTCGTGGACTTCTTCGAGAGGGTTGCTGTTAATGAAGACCCTATCATCCGAGTTAACAGGCCGTGGTAGGTTGTAGGACATGTATTTTGTCTTCCCGATGTTGATGAGTAAACCATACCGGACTGCAATATCAGAGATACTTTGACAGAGGCGGCTGTTATCGCTGAAGCTGGGTGTGATTGTAGCTAAGTCATCGGCGAAGTCCAAATCTGCTATGTAATCACAACCAACTTTAAGCCCATCGTGTGGACCTATTGCCAGTCTAAGAATGAAGTCCAGGACGATAATGAAGATAAGAGGGACGATAATGAAGATAAGAAGACTGCTCCTTAATAACAAAACGAAAATTCATATTTTCCAAATTCTGTCCCATTTTCAGTTTTTGAAGTTGAAATTTCCAGGACCGAAATTTTACAGTTTTTACTGAATTTGTCACCCGCAACCAATTAGTCAGTTAACTATAAATGGCATATGACACGATTGAGGTGCTGGAAGTTTGATTTCGGTCGGAGGAAGCTCACTGCAGAAAGTTATAATAACAAAACTAAAATTCATATTTTCCAAATTCTGTCCCATTTTCATTTTTCAAGTATGATAATTTCTGAACACGAATTTGACATATTGGATGGAATTTTTGCCCAGAGTCAGTTAATTGATATTTAATAAACACGAGCAGGAACCCGTCTAACCCTAAAGTGGTGTCAAGACTCAAGAGACTAAAATAATCATTACTGATTTAGTATTTAATTCGCGTTTTTGACTCCACTGGGGGTCCAAAATTTGGTCACTAAAATTCTTATTCCTTGGCCAATTTTTTCATGCTGATTTGAAGGCCTTAAGCATTCGAAGCAGTCATATACATCAATGTAAACATCACTTTACATTGATGAACATTGAAGAAGTTCTCAGACGTGCTGGAATTAAGTCTATTGAAACCGGTGACCGACAACTAAGAACCTGATCTCATTCCGGTCTCCCACAGGTATCACATCACATGGCCCAATCAGGATTTTTACACAGGATTTACACAGGATTAAAATTAAATTATAGATCCATTATAATCATGAACCGTCATAATTTTACAGAGATTAATGAAAACATTCATCTTTCCTTGAAGTCAGGGCCAGGGTTATCCTTAAATCTTAATTATGACTAATTCGCGAGCTGAGTCCCTCAGATATTGATAACAAGAAATGATACATTTAATTTCAAAGCTATATTGTACCGGTTAATTGAAAATTTTTATTACACTTCTTTGGAAGTATATTGTTCTTAACCTTGAAACTTTAGGTATTTCAGGAATTGATCAGACCATTGTTTGACGTTTTGAGCACATACATATTTGTGTAACTATTATAAGACTGCTGTCCCCTAATACCTCAAAATTGCAAGTAGGAACAATTGTGGTGCCAGTTAATCTACAGTATGTTATTGTTCCCTCATAGTTCACATAGTATCTGCAATTGAGCTTCTCAGACGAAATTAACAAAGCTTGTGAGTGAGCTGAACTACTCGAGCGAGGGACCCCGTAATTTGAAAATCAATCCACTCAAATACACACACAACAGCGGTGGTGTCCCTGAAAGGTTCCTACACTATCTGGCTTAGTCGCTACAACAAGACCTGGAGTGACAACTGGCAGCTGGCCGAAAGACCCTGCCCAGTTTAACCCTGATGAACAGCTGAACGTTGGGCCCTTAAAACGTCGTTGAAAGCTACATCTGGGGTCGTAAGTCCCAGACATCAGAAGAAGTCAGAGAGTGTAGAAGATTCTGCGTCTGAAAAGACTAGAGAATTGAGGTAAATATAGTTGGTTTGGTCTCAAACATGGACATGGATTTGCTCTGCAAGGAGGGAAAGCCTTGACGACGGCTAGGAAAGACTAGTTGACGACTGCCAAAGGCAGATGACGGCATGGAAAGACTGCTGACGGCCTGGAAAGACTGCTGACCACAGGGGAAAGACCCGAAGCTGATAGCCTTAGTAGGGCGATTAGCCGGAATACACGGCAGAGCTGTGTATAACAATCAACACTCCAGCAAACAATAAGAAAAATGCCCACATGATCACTGGACGGGGTGGGAGAATAGATGATCTGACCTCAGGGGAACAGACCCGACAACCTGGTAATGAAACCTCTGAGGCTGAACCACCTAAGGATAAACCTCAAGTATGTGAGTGGTGTGGGAAGGGGTTCAAACAAGTCGCCAAACACCAGTGGAGATGCAAACTGAGACCGCAAGACGAGCTTCGTGCTGCTGAGAATACAGAAACGGAAGTGGATGTTGGACCAGCGGAGGGAGATCGCAACTGTAAGTCGGAGCTGAAGTCAAGCCCGGAATCAAACCACAGTGCTACAATGACAGAAGCCTGCTCAGCTAGTTTCTCTGCGAAAGACAAACCCCCAGAACAGATAGAACTGAAGGATACTCTAAAGTTATCCTTACCACAGGCAAACAAGATGAATGAATGGAAAGGAATTGATGAAGACCTAAGCATTGCCATCGGGAACATCGTGAAGGGTAAAGACCCAGAGAAAGAGCTAAAGACTATGGAACTTACTATCTACGAGTACTTGGCTGACAGATATGGACAGGAAGAACGGAAACCATACCTTGACAAGCCCAATAAGGAAGGACCAGTCACCAAGACCCTCAGGAAAAAGAAGAAGGATACAGCACGCGAGTATAGAGAGGCTGTGAGAGAGGGCGGAGTCACTTCTGGTGGTGCCAAAACAGTAAGAGCGCAGTACTGGAGACTAGTGAGAATCCACAACAAGTCTAGGCGTGAACAGTTGAAGAAGAGGAAAAAGAAAGAAAAGAAGAAGGAGACCCAACGCTTCAGGAGGAACCCCTATGACTACAGTAAAAGACTCCTTGATGAGAAGATCTCGGGAGAGCCTACCTTCGGCAAGGAAGAGGCTGACAGATACTACCCCAAGGAATACATGGACCGAGATAGATGTCATGTCTTCGAAAAGATGGCAGGAATACCAGATGCCAAAGACCCAGTGTACCCCTTTGTGTGCACAGTACCTACTTACGAAGAGTTTGAAAAGAAGATCAAAACACGACGCAATGGATCTTCACCAGGGCCCAACGGAGTGCCATACATAGTTTACAAAAGGTGTGCCAGGCTGAGAGAACTATTGTATGCGTGTATTAGTAAACTCTGGTTATCAAACAGTGTCCCCCTGCAGTGGAGAATTGGAGAAAGCATCCTACTTCCCAAGACCACGGACCTTAGTGACCCTGGCAAGTTTAGGAACATCACTATGACTAACACCAGTGGGAAAGTGGCAATGGGTATGCTAGCTGATAAAATGCTCGACTACATGACCACCAATAAGTACATCGATACCTCTGTGCAAAAAGGCTTCCTGCGCAAGATGCCAGGATGCATAGAACACACACAAGCGCTCATGGAGGAACTGCGGGATGCAAAGAGTAAGAGAAGACAGGTGTATGCAGTATGGGTGGATCTTATGAATGCTTATGGGAGAGTACCCCATGAGCTGATAGTGTTTGCGCTTCGGCACTACAAGTTCCCAGAAGAAGTGGTCCAATATATTGTCAAGTACTACGACGAACTGGTAGTACGGGTGAAGACGAAGAAGTGGAAGAGTGAGTGGTTCTACTACCTAATCGGGTTGTTTCAAGGGGACCCGCTTTCTGTCGTGCTATTCTTAATAGCATTCAACCTACTCTTGGATTTACTTCAGGTCGACAGAACACTGGGATACAAGCCGTCGTTCAGCTCTGAGCCAACTACAAACAGAGCTTTTGCAGATGATCTCACCCTGCTGTCTGACAGACTCGACAAAATGAAGAGGCTGGTCGGGCAAATGGAGGAATTCTTAGCATGGACAAGGACGATGAGAGCTAAACCCAGCAAGTGTATTGCTCTCGGAATGAAGGTAGTGGACAATACCTACAGATCGTTTGACCCTGAGATCATCATTGCAAACGAGAAAGTAGCGTACCTTGGTGACACACCGATAAAGTTCCTTGGTCACTGGATTTACGTCAACCTGGGCCAAGATGAGACGAGAGAGCTAATCACCACTCAACTTTCAGGCCAGCTGGAAAAAGTAGACATGGCGGAGCTCTCTGGACCAAGCAAGTGCTGGATCTACAACCACATGCTAACTAGCAAAGTACAGTGGAATATTATGATATACAACCTCCCAGTATCATTCATCCAGACACTAGAGGCTCTTTGTACCAGATACTTGAAGAAATGGCTTGGAGTTACTACTTCCATATCGAATAGTGTGCTGTACAGATCAAAAGACCACTTTGGACTATCGTTAAAGCAGATCTCCAACCTGTACAAATGTCTACAGGTGTCCAAGGCCTATATGCTGAAGACATCGGTTGACCCTAAAGTGAG